AACCACAGGGTTACCAGCGCAGTGTAATCCGGCCCACTCCCCACATTACCAATGCACACCACAGGCTGCGGTGATGACTTACATGCTGGCCATCTTTTCCTGGCTTTCCCGCTGGACCTGGAGGTCCCATGGGCCCCTGGGGGCCTCTGGGACCCGGCTGAGCGGCTTGAGAGTTTCCATCTACCGAAGGACTGGGGAGACCAGGTGGCCCCGGAGGGCCAGGAGGGCCCGGATCCCCACGTTCTCCCTTCTGTCCTCGGCTGGGGTCCACCTGAGGGAGGGGGGTCAGAACATGAGCAGGTGAGGAGCCCCAATTCACCCCTGAAGGTCTGAGCGTGCCTCACAGGGGAGGAGTTACTCACTGTCCTGTATGGCTCTCCCAGCTCATCGGTTTGGTCCTGTCCTGCAAGGATCACAAAATCAACAACTAACAGTCTTGGAATAACAGTCTTACTTCAATGCAGACACACATGACAAGTCATTTGAAATGCGTAGCTATGATGACAGTTCATATTACTCATCTGGCTGATATCGCTCGAAACTGTACACTTACCTCATATGATAAACAAAAAAAACAAAAAAAAAACTAAAATACTGTAAAAAATCACCATAAGATCCTGGCAATGATCCGTACTTGCAGTGTGAAATATTTTAACATCAGTATAGAAGCAGGTTACTCCTCGAGTTCATTAACTGTTACCTAGCACAGGCAAACCATTCATGAAACCTTTGTATTTAGTGCCACCTAGTGGCAGTTTTACAACTCAGACAGCACACCCTGTTTATGCAAAAGACTGCAATTCTTTTATGTAAAATTTTAAAAAATGTACAATTTACTTCAGTAATAAGTATTGATTGACATCTATAACAATGACGGACAAAAATGCATACAGATACTGTTCATGTATAGACCTTTTTCCTACTCGAAGAAGAAGAGTAACTGCTTTTGACCTAATAACTTCTTAGGGATCTCTGCTATCAGCATTAGACACAGCAGTCTGCCTAGAGCAGTGCAGCATCAAACTGCAGGACACTCACTGTACACTGAGCTCTCCTCAGCAGGCTCCATAGTGGGGGTCACCTGACCAGAGTATTCCTCTGGCTCCTCTCCTTTGGGACTGTCCGTAGGGGGGGCTTGTACTGGGGAGCTCCGCCTTCCCTCCATCTGAGAGGGTAAATGAAGCTCACTCACAACACGCCCACCACACGTTTAGACTGAGCATGCATGCATTGGTGTTTTCTGAGCTGCTCAGCTTCGGAGAGTTTGGTGTGTAGTCCTCACGATGTCAACGCAATGTGCTGGGTCACCTTAGGCTGAGTCCTCTAAACATCACCCACTTCAAAGCTCTGAACTCTAACAGATTAATGCGACTAAGTAGTTACTGCACTACTTTCATAGTGTTGTTATCCTATTAAGATAATCAATGAAGAGAATATACGTTTCTTTGCGGTGTCCAGCAGGAGGTGACAGAGATCTATGTGAGAGCAGGAGCTCCCCCAGGTAGCTGAGACGTGCTGCACTGTAGGTGAATTCTGCTGGTCTCGCTCCCTAACGGCAAAGGCCGCTGAATATGGACACAAAAGTCTCCTCTTACAAGCAGCAGACCCAGAACAAAAGCTTTGCTGGACTGCTGTCAGAAGGCTACAAAGCTGGGCCACTCTAACAGTCTGGGCGGTTGGAGACACCGTGAGATGGGAACCAGAATACCCACAATAATTTCACCAGTCACTTGTAACCGTCGCATAGTTGAAACGACACACACAGATCAGACATTATATCTGAAGCCAAGTTTATCGAGTGATGAACTGCCTGAGTGATATTAATCGTGGTGATATGGCGCGCCACCGACTCTGGGCTTCTTTCAGCTGAATGGCTGTGATTTCAAAATGCACAGACCTGAAGCTGAAGGCAGTTTAAGAATTTGGAGACAGAAGGAGCGAGGAGGAGGGGCCTGTACTCCCAGAGCGCTGGGTAGTCCCCGCGGACGAGTTATCAGACGGGCAACCCGCGGACGGGCCGTCAGACGGGCAACCTGCAGACGGCCCATCAGACGGGCAACCCGCCGACAGCCATCAGACGGGCAACCCACAGACGGGCCGTCAGACGGGCAACCTGCAGACGGCATCGTCACCAAGAGGCAGAGGAAGCGTCTGTGTGCCAGGACCCCTAGCTGCCCCCCCCAGACAAAGGCCGGATGTTTTTAAAAACCCACAAGTCAACATCCCTGTTTACTTCTCATGGGGAGGATGTTGGGACTCTGCATGCTGGTGAGCTGTTATGTTCATCAGACCAGATGAAAGAGAAGCACAATAAGCTGGATGGTGGGTCACCCCGCCCTAGATAAGCCGTTCTTGGACATTATGGACAGATTGGGTTTTTGTGTAACCAAACTGGGGGGGGGTACACTGACTCTACAGTGGTCTGGTATGGCCAGGAGGGCTGCTGGCAAATAATCCTTGAAATAAAAATAGTTACATTGTGGCAGTGTTGACAGTTAACTCTAGAAGTTGCGTAGCTCAGTGTTAGACTCTGCTCCCCAGGAATCAGTGTTTGGTAGTTAGGAGGACAGGCTGAGCCCAGTCCACGTCTTACTCACCTGTGAAGTCGGGGGTCTTCTCTCCCTCTTCACCACCTCGTCTGTCATCTCACGGTCATCCAGGCCATCATCAGAGCTGCCCTCTCCAGAGGCCTGGAACAAAAGAAAAACTCAGCCTCGCAGCTCCAACCCACTATGCACCCAAACTTTCTCGCCCTATGCTATGTGGAGCTCTCTCACCCTGTGCTACATGAATGAAGCTCTCTCACCCTGTGCTACATGAATGAAGCTCTCTCACCCNTGAAGCTCTCTCACCCTGTGCTACATGAATGAAGCTCTCTCACCCAATGCTATGTGAAGCTCTCTCACCCTGTGCTACATGAATGAAGCTCTCTTACCTTGTGCTACGTAAAGCTCCCTCACCCTGTGCTATGTGAAGCTCTCACCATGTGCTACATAAAGTTCTCACCCTGAGCTACATGAAACACTCAGCCTGTGATGCGTGAAGCTCTCTCAGCCTGTGCTACGCGTAGCTCTCTCAGCCTGTGCTGCGTGAAGCTCTCTCAGCCTGTGCTGTGTGAATCTCTCAACCTGTGCTACGCGTAGCTCTCTCAGACTGTGCTGTGTGAATCTCAGCCTGTGCTACGCGTAGCTCTCTCAGCCTGTGCTGTGTGAATCTCTCAGCCTGTGCTACATGTAGCTCTCTCAGCCTGTGCATTTTGAAGGCATGGTGCTGCAGTATATTCTAACGTAGCACTGAAGTGGACACACCCTGTGCAGTGCTGACTTCAGACACGTCCACCATGTAAAAGGGGTTTCCTGACTAACTCAAGCTCTCTCAGGAACAGTTGTTTATACTGTAGTTTCCTTACTGCATTATAATTATACAATAAAATAAAATTGATGATAATAATAATACTAATATTTACAAGCTTACTGGCTCTTTATCTCTTGTTTTATTTTAACAGAGAAGCCTGTGACAGACCCATTGACTAATCAAAAACCATTCAGAAAAACATGGCTCTCCTTTGACCACTAGGGGGCAATAATTGTCTCATAGTCTTCCAGCAGTGACACTGTCAGTCCCAGCTACTGCGTCGAAGCTCACTGCACTTACATAGGGGTCATCCTCCTCACACTGCTCCTCTGGCGCTCGGGGGTCTGGCCGAATCAGCAGCTGCTGCATGTAGCCCTGGGGTGAGAGATAGGGAGTGGGGGTGGGTGGGAGAGATTTAAACTGGCACACAGATTCCTCACCGCAGAAGCTCCAGAAGTCCAAATGACCGCAGCCTGTAAGAAAGCAAGCAGGGACAGCGGGCAGATGATGGAGCAGGAAGATGAGCAACAACGCATCACCTTCACAGGTGATCTACTCATCAAACAGAAACAAACCAGATGTTCTTTCTCAAACTGGAGGGGGCAACACAGAACCTCCAAGAAATGTATTCACTATAGCTGCAGTGTGCACAGGTACATCCCACTGGAGCCTGTGACAACCAGGAGGGCAACTTACTGCTGGCAGATACTGCACTACTGTCAACAGGGAGAGCCCGAATGGTCACTGCAGCAGTTTATAGAGCGTGCAGATACTGCACTACTGTCGACAGGGAGAGCCCGAATGGTCACTGCAGAGGTTTATAGAGCGTGCAGATACTGCACTACTGTCGACAGGGAGAGCCCGAATGGTCACTGCAGAGGTTTATAGAGCGTGCAGATACTGCACTACTGTCGACAGGGAGAGCCC